ATCTCTCTCCCTCTGTCGCTGTTATCAAAGCGTACAAGTGCAGGAAGTGTCACCACTGGCATTCCAGGAAGGGACAGACGTCGCAATGTGCCTCTGCCTTTCTTCTGTAATCGCCTAATTTTTTTTTTCTTTCTCCCAATCTTTCGAAACTTGGGGGTATGGATGAGTAGCGTCCGCTCCGTTCGTGCACACTACTGCATTCCTGCAGTGTTTCACTGTCTTTAGAATTTGTTGTGCGACAAGACAATCACTATCAGTAGAAACGCCCTGTGTCTTTTTTTTTTTTGGTCTAATTTTTTACGCGGTTGTGTCTGAGCAGCGCTTGAGCGTGAGTGGCGGGCACCGACCTTGGAGTCTGCTTTATTTGAACCGGCCCAATTGCCCACAGTGACAGTTTCTCCCCGCCAGTCGTTTCTCAGACTTGCTTCAAGTAGCTTCAAACTAAGGCGCTCAGCGCTCAGTAGTCGTCTGGTGTTTCCGCGTTTTATTTTTGTATATGTATTTGTGTGTTGCGGCGTCGGCATTGGCACAGATCTCGAAGTTTTGAATGGATCATAGTTTTTAGTCTTTAATGCGAAAAACTAAATTTACACGCGAAATTTTTTTTTTTTTTTTTTTTGCTGTTAGTGTTTTTTTTTTTTTTTTTTCAAGCAGACGTTTTGTTACACAACAAAATTTTTTTTTGTTTTAATTTTTGTAGAGCGAGTCGTGGCCTATGAATCACGGCGAGCGTGTGTGCCAAGACACGTCAGGCGCTGAGGCGTGAAGCGCAGCTTTTTTGTTTTTACTTAATTCTATTTTAAGCAGCCCTCTTTCGTGTTACGCGCAGGCATGTACTTCTGAAGCTAATCCATTATCCGGGGGTGCCGTGGGTGGAAGAAGCTTCATCGCCTCTTTCATATTTTCTGATAGTCATTCGACTTCTCTGCCGACAGGAGCAAATCGGTGGTTTCTATTTCTGCAGCTCATACCCTCGCAAAAAAAGAAAAACAAGAAAAAAAAGTATATATATATATATATTTTTTTAATTAGTATTGGCTATGACACGAGCTTGCCAAGAATGTCACAAAAATCAAATCTCAGATTGGAGAAGAAGAGAAACATCAAAACGTAGAAATTTTCTGTTCCTTCTACGTTTTGATGCTTCTCTTCTTCCCCTAGTCCCAGGTGAAATCAACATGGCTAATATTCATAAGCACGCCTGAACCCTTACTATTTTCCCTGGTCATATGACCGAAAGGTAATAATGTTTTTGTAATGTTTTATTTGCTCAGGAGAGCCGCGGCACCGCAGAAAGGCAAGAGCCCGTACCAAGGAGGCCCGCGGTGCCGTATCTAGTGATGGTGATTATGTGATGATGTAATGTACAGATGAAAGTTATGGTGTGTTAGGCCTAGCAGCAATCTTCGCAGTGATGGTCTTCGCGGTGCTGTGAAAGGTACACCGCTACCGCCAAAATCTACACCAATTTCGAACATCGCAGCTAGCGCCATCTAGGCGCGGTGGAACGCAACGCGAAATACGGTGTCTTCAGAGCACGCATCCATCCGTGCGTTGCGAATTTCCCTCACCCAGTGTGCATGTGTAGCGCAATGGTCGGCGTCCGGTTCGTTTGCTTTCCACCGCTGAATCACAGCAGGAAACCGACGCCCAGGTAAGGCTAAAAATTCGCCGCTATCTCGTGCAAACTTATGTTACAAAACGTGCGAATAATACACGCTTACACCGCGCCGGAAGTAACTTTAACGCAATCATTTGCTGTGAATAGAATCGGGGTTTACGTACGCCCGTCCCCCCTCCTCCTAGATGCTGCAAAGTAGCGCAAAAACCCTTTGGGAATGCTGCCTGCGAGCCAGGCTAGGTAGGCGCGGCGTTTGGCGTGTGCATATAGATGTATATAGATCTACATATCTAAATTCAAAGGATGAAGCATGCGTTTTACACGAAAGAATACGATAAACATCGAAAGTAAAACGCCGGTATGATAGAGCCGGCGGAAGATGTGAGCTCCTTGTGTTTCGATTGAAACCTGCGAAATAATAATTAGAACAAAACACATCTATACATATAAATGCGGATCACAATCTTTTGCAAACCGCGGGGACTTTTAATTTTTTTTTATTTATTTATTTTTTTTTTTTTTTTTTGCAGTATTGGATTTTTTATGGGATTTTACTGTGTGCTCACGCGCACTTTTATATAATTTGTAGCTCTGAAAATTTTTTTAAGCTTACTTATTTTGTTTTTTTCTCTTCTCATTTTATCATCTCGTAATTTTTTTTTTTTGTGTGTGTGTGTGTGTGTGTGTGTGTGTGTGTGTGTGTGTGTGTGTGTGTGTGTGTGTGTGTGTGTGTGTGTGTGTGTGTGTGCAAGTTTTGATGTTGGACGGTGGTGTTTCGTGTTGCTGGAATGCAGGAATGTTTTGCCCGCGGCCCCGACGTGTTTTTTTTTTTTTTTTGAGCACTTCGCGTGAAGTATGCACTGTGAAGGGTGCTTATGAATGTGCCCGATAACAACCCCAAGGGCCCGATAAAAAACGTTCGGGAACTGATTACTTATGACGCGAGCTCAATTCTGTTGACAGACACTTGACGCATGACTGAGGCGCTTGAATCGCGAAGCCTCGAAGGCCGTATTTATTCTGAAATTTTCCGATTTCCAGATATGAGGACACAATAAAATTAAAAAAAAAATAATAAGATAATAGTAACTAAGTTTCTTAGGGCAAAACTCGTCCCTGAAAAGTGCATCCCAAGAGGCAGTATCTACCCATTCACACCATACCAAACAGTACATAAAAAAAGGAGAATTGTTTAAATACTGTTATACTTAGTTTCGCCATGACTTGGCAAAGAGCGAACGCTAGCTACGGTTGGGGTATCGGTGGCCGAGTGAGCTAGCACACTTCAAGCTTGGAGCACGTGGAGCAGAAGCTCACTCTGCTAAACCCATGGGATCCTGGTTCCATCCCCACCCCTGCCCGTTTCAGTCTGGATGAGGATCGTACCGGCGTGCGGTCGTGAGTGACTACCGCATGGTGCACGTTAAAGGAGCAATGCAACAATTTTTGTACTGTGCACAAATACCGCTTAAAACGGATCCCTAACGTTAATGACCTATGAAACACGCGTTCGTTTTTCACCCCACGCAATAGAAGTACCAGAAAAAAATTTAAGAAAAACGAGCAGCGTTCACCCCCTCAACTCGCAGCTAGAACAAGTGGCCACGTGATCTGGAGCCGATTATATGCCGCCAGTGTTGATCAAAGCCACGCGCTGGGGTTGGCAAAGCGCAGGACACGCGCTGAGTTCCAGACATTGTTATGGCTCGGCTGTTGTCGTCGTTCCAGCGATTGGACACGGGTCACAACCCGAATGCTTCTCGAGCTAGCAATTATCACGAGCCCAAGTCGAGTGCCCACGCAATGCTCGGGTCCAATCTATGAACCGCATTCAAATATCGTCACTTGGGTGTACTGCGATCCCCGAGTTACGTCATCAAATTTTGCAAAGGAGAGATTGAATGAAAATGATCGCTTTTGTCCTTGAAATTACACCGCAACAAAGGAGTTTCTTGGCCAATGGCGTTGCGTGTGAGTATCCTTGAGTCCCAGGTGTGCGAGTAAGCTCGTGTAGAGAGAAAAACATTCCACTTGAATATCGTTGCACAGCTTCTTTAAGGACCCCAGGCTAGCGGTTGTACCGCATTGGCTAAATTGCTCATCTACAGCTGAGACACCAGACGCCTACTGGGGGCTAATTTCCGGCTGTATAAATGTATGCAGAACACAATTACAAATGCTATGGCCCCGAAGCCGATCGGAGCTACGGAGACGAGGCACGTGACAGCCCATGCCGAAGGTTCGGGCGTAACCTGAGCAGTTGGAGAAGAGGGGATGGAGGAACAGCCCCCCTCACTCGAACCCACTTTTGTTTGTCCCAGACGCTGTTTTGAAGCATCTGGGACACACAAAAACCGCTGTTTTATAGAATTTTGAGTGACGGCTAAACATAACTCGAATTCCGTGATGACAGCTGCTTTTCTCTTTCTCCCACCTCTGACTTTGACACCACTGCACGCAACTATACTCCATCTCACTAGTTGTGCGCAGCGTTAATAAAGGTGCAAGGGCGAGAGTGTAGCGCTAGCATTTCAAGGGTGAGGGAAAGAAGGAACTCGCCACTTACACAGACCCTCCTTTGCGTACCCCCCGGGTCGCCATTGATCCCACTTGAAGACTATGCCCGTCACTCAAAATTTGTACATAAGGTGCGTCCCCCCTCTCTCGTGCCCACCATGGCTCGTGCAGCGCTGCGCGCAACTAGCAAGACAGAGTAGAGGCACAAGTCTTTCTCCAAAGCGCTAATGCGGAAAGCAAGTCATCTGCTTCTTGCGCAGGGGTTGCGGTGACATCAAAACGACACCAAGTTCCGATTGGCTTTATTGGAAAGATAGTGGGTAGACCTCAATGCTAGATGCCTTGAGGTCTACCAACTATTTTGTTTTTCAATCGGCCAATAAGAGCTCGGATTTCTGACATCATCGCAACCCCTGTGCAAGAAGCAGACAAACTTGCGCTCCGTATTGGCTCACTGAGGCTGTAGCCTTCGCTGTTCGCCAAGTTACAGTGAGGCGGAGTGTAATTTAGTTCGTAGAATATGTTCCGTCGGCCGATGTAGGCGGTACCGTGCTCCGCTCACCCCTTAGCTGACAGTGGTGAAAATTGGATGCTCATTGGGCAAATCGGACATCTATTTTTCGCCGTGTGATCATGTTCCCGCCCATACCCTCGCACGTAGGGTGGGGCCGGGGGACGAAAAGGAGGCGTTTGATCGGCCCAGCGAGTTTTCAGCTTTTACTGCACTGTCGACTGAGGGGTGAATAGAGTATGGTAAAAAATTAAGTTTTAAACCGTGAATTATGTGCAGTGTGACTCAGTATGGAAGTGGGAAACATATGTGCGTGCTGCTGTTTCAATGCTTTCGTTTTTGTTGATGCAGGGAACTACGACTACTCTCGGTGCGAGCAGACGGATGGGTTGCGCCTCTCACAATGTCTACAACACTCCCGGCGCCTCTGTAAGTTTGATTAGATGCCGTCTGTGTTCCAGCGTAGTCCGTTTGTAACGTCGATTGCACGCTTGGGCCTCATTGGCAGAGGGGAGGTGAGGATAGCTAGGGTGAAGCAGGTCTTATAGCTGTGCCGTAATGTCCCTAGAGATGGCCCACCAAAAAGTGAGAGCCAATCGGGTGAAAATCAGGAGTGGGCTAGCTTTTGGTGCGCGATCATTAAAGCTTTTGTCGAAGTGCTATTTCGGTATTCTCTGACCTGCCAAACCTGTTTTCACATCTAACCCCATTTCGGCCGAGCTCGCCATTGGCCAGGGCACTACAATTAGTAGAAGAAGGCTATATGTTTCGGTGTTTTTGAAAGACAAATATCAAATTGTGTGAAAAATAGGCGTGGGCTATCTTTTGGGGGTGGGGCATCTTACGGGGTATTACGGTAAGTGGCGTGCACTTTATCCCATTCTGGGTTTTTAATTATGGCTTTGCGTTTTTCAAGATTTATTCTCTTCAAATTTGAGAGTATTTCTTTGCAGGTGTTCATTTTTTCCCCACAGGTTCTGGGGGGGGGGGGGGGGGGGTCCATCTTTGAAGTTAATTCATACACACCGCAAACAGGAATTTCTAAATGTCTTGTGAAAAAAAACAGCCCTAAACCAAACCTTCAGTTTGTCCATGGCAGAACAGATGCACAACTGCAAATAAATGATTTTCTCATGCACGGCGCTATCGTTGGATGATGGCGTTTCCTTGTTTGCTTTGCAGTCAGGTTTGTGAAACGAGTATTCAAGCTTTTTTTTTTTTTCACTTCGAAGAGCCTCTTTCCAGAGGTTTGAGTGCTGCGAACCCATCACCTCTGCATCACGTTGCCTACAATACTGTGAAAGACTTGGGTGGGAGCATATAGTGCTTCACAGGGGAAGCACTTCAGAATTATACATTCTTGGGGCCCCCCAGTAGTGCATACCTAGCACAAGCATTAATGTGGTAGTCTGTGAATTTTTGAGGTCAGTGGGTGTACTGTCAACCTTTGAAATGACGCGTCTTTAAACATACATTCTTGCGACTCTAATGCTAATGTAGAAAGGCGATAGAGCAGCATGCTTCCAGCCGTTTGTCTGGAGTTGCGCCAAATGCCTCGTCGCTATTCATACACATTACAGCAGCTGCAGCAAACATTGCTAGGGTCAGGCATTTTTATTCATTTTTTTTTTTCAACACACACGGAACTTGGGAGTTATATCACAGGGCTCTTCGCCTAAGGCAATTGTAATGCATGGCACACAGTGATGCAACTCCATACGTTATAGAAACAAGTTCTTTGAACGCTGGAAAGACAATTAAATAAGGAAAACCAGGTGTTTCAATGAGAAGGGTTGTGCAGAATAAATAAGAGACTGTTTGTTTGAGGTATGGTGGGTAACTCTAATGCCACTTGCATTCGTAAATTTTTCTTTGCGTTTTTTGTTCTCAGGATCAAGTTTTCTGGTTTATGATCAGCCAGCTACCAAGACTTGGGTACTGGCAGCTGTAGAGAGGTGTTTTTACTACTGCAGGCACATACTTTCCTGCTACATTGATTTCTAACACTGGCATCTTTTTTTTCTCGTATTTAGTACTTATTTATTAATTAATTAATTTTATTTATATTCCTTTGAATGCTCTCTGGAGGGCATTACATAAGAGGGTGTGGGGGGCTGCATGGTGTGTTTGTACAATCAAGACACAACACTGTTCAGTGAGTAAAAGTACATGTAGTAAGATTCGCTATGATACCACTCACAAAAACAGCATGTATGTTCAATACTGTCTGAACTGAGTGCCTAAAACACCAGGACGAGAGGAAGAAGACACACATGTTGGTGTACTTGCAACTGAAAGTTTTAGTGGAAAAAATTCTTTAAAAGTTTTCAGTTGTGAGTATGCCAACGTGTTGTCTCTTCTTCTTCTTGTCCTTGTTTTTTTAGGCGTTCAGTTCAGATGAAAAACCAGCTAGCCCAACTTATTATTTTGATTCAATACTGTATATGCTGTACATATTGTAAGGAATTTACCGCTCATATTGTAATGATTCCACTTCCATTTGGTGGCCTCATCGAGCATACCTCATTATCAAACTAAAATCGATGTAATTTTTTTTTTTTATTTATTTATTCACACTGTTAGTCTTTTGGGGCTGTTACAGGAGTGTTAAGGTACACATGAAAATAAATATAATATAAAGCATCTCGTCTCATATCGCACAACTATTCGCAGACATCAAGCACAACTACTTTAAAGCCAGGTTTGGAGCTTTGTCCATTAACTGAAAAAACTAAACTTGCTCGTCTTGTCATGTTTAAAAAAATCTACCATTCTTCCTCTTCTTTTCATGACAGTTACTGTTGCCTGCCATCTCGCGTCAATTCGCAAAAACTAATAAATGGAAAAATTCCTTACTTTCACTAGCCATCACCGACAGAAATTCTCTTCCCAAAATAATCATACTCACAACTAATCAGGCTAAATTCGGTGACCCTTGCAAGGCATACCCTACAAGTGTTTTTGATTAGTCCAAATGTATATTCAATATCACTCACTTTTTTTTTACTTGTGTTTTTATAAGATTTGAGTAAGATGTCTGTTGTTCACCGTTAATATAACCAATTTGGCAACCTTCGCTGTTAATTTTTTGTATTAGATTCCCCCCCCCCCCCCCTTTTGTGTATTGCACTTTTTTGAAGTGCCTTCGAGGATTATTAAACTGAAATGAACCAAATTAATTTCCAAGACCTTTCATTTGTTCCAATTATTTTTCTGAGCATCCCGCTCGATACTACAGCCCTGTAAAACACTAAGAACAAAAACTTGGACATGCTTTACTGGGAGATTCCTCAAGATTCTTATAGATGACGTGGGTCTGGCTTCAAAGAGTTTTAGAAGGTAGCGGTTTTGGGGCTCGTGAGGGCAGACTGTGCTCCTTATCACTCTTGAGGGCTGACCCACACGTTTACGTTTACGTGGGATTGACTGCGTTGCGACTACTTGCGACTGCTTACGATTAGACAACTCACTGGTGTCGTCTCTCGTGAAGCCCTAGAACACTTCAGGTCTGCATATATATTACGCATCATTCCTTCGCCGTGTGCTCGAAATAATTCTGACCAGGGATTTCCTTAGACCCCCCTAGTTTTCCTAAACAACCCCCCTTGAATCTTAAAAAAAAAGAAAAAAAAAGGAAAAAATAAAATAAAATTCTTTTTTTCAGGTTAAGTAGAAAACGCCACCTCTCAGGTGTATATATAGAGAAAGGGAAACATACATTACGGGTATGAGCATTTGGTTAATAGACGTCTGTAATTTAGCTAGTGGACTAAAAAAAAGAAACAGTTTTATATTTCATCTAGTCTTGCCTAGCATCGCCTGCCTCCCCCCCCCCCCCCCCCCCCCCCCCCTCCCTCGAGCCATTGGGACACCCCCCCTTGATTAGAATCCTGGGGAAACCCCTGATTCTGAGAACGTTACAAGCTATGGTTTCTCGTAGATGTTGCATAGGTGGGATCTCGTGAATGCTGCAAAAACCTTTACGTTATTTGTACGTCAGTCGGTTGTGTTCCAGGGCTACCGAGGGATGGTGCCAGCGTGGAGGTGTCTTGTCTCGTTGTAAACGGATGCGAGCGGTTTCCCAATGCAGTCATTCACACTCAAAATGCTAATGTGTAAACCAGCCCCAAGAGAAAAGCAAGCTTTGTGCATAAGTTTGCGTGCCGTGCGAAGGGGTTCTTGTGAGACTCGAGTGTCGGAGACAAAAATTATATGTTTTATGTTTGAAATAAGTACATTTTGACAAAATAACAAATAACCATGTGAAGCAGGAAATTATATAGCGATGCTCTGTGAGAGGCATATATATTTGTTTTTTTATTACTACTACTCTTGAGGTGAAAATTGGTACTTATAGTAAGTACATTTTAGTGCAATTTAAGAAAGTTTAATGGATTGCAGTCGGAAACTCTTTTTGATGAATTTGGCGATTGATGACGTGACAGCTACCAGCAAAATTTTGGTGTGGAATGGCCCGAGTGTTGTGTTATTACTCAGTCACCCACTCTTGTTTTACGTCTTGATGCAACGAAATGGACGTATTAGAAACATTTATTGAAGGATGCAGAAAGGGAACCATGAGTGATGCAGCAGGCTAAAAAATATGAGAAAAAAAAAGAAAGAAAAAGAGAAACCAGCACTGGCAGTTTCGTTGGAGGAAACCCTTTGTGTAGCTGAATGAGGTTATTCAAGATTACTAGTGAGGAACAGGTTTTGGCAGTGCACAGTTATTAAGTTGTTAAATCCCCTCAGACTTGAGAAAGACCTTGTGCCACATCTGGATATTTTTTATGTCCTCTCTGGGGGACCCGACTTTTGATCTTGGTTCTAAACAATACAGCAGTGGCTCAGCGAATGTTAATGGGTATGGTCATAAATACCAGTCAAAGAAGCTCAAGTTAAGAAAGAACCTTAGTTGGGACCTTCACCTAAGGATTTGCTCTTTACATTTGTTCTCTCACACCTGGCGTCAAGCTGCAAGTAACCGCACCAACTCTTAAATCAGTCCATCGTTTCCTGAATCACTGGTTTGAGAGCCATGTTGATGGGAGAATTGGGGGGGGGGGGGGGGGGGGGGCACGTGCCTTTGGTGTGAGGGCATTCATTTGACGAGGCTTGCTCACGCTTGCATCACAAAGCTGCCTTTCTCGAGTTCTCAAACGTTTGTTCTTACTCCGCAAGTCACTAACGGACACAACCCTTTCGTTGTCACCCCCGCAGAACTTCCGCCACACCTCCCGAGAGCCATTCCGAGACGGTGTCGCCGGGACAACCCTTCTCACCGCCATGAGCGCCACGTCCCGCCACCCGACCCGCCGCCCGACCTGACCAGGAGGACCTCGGCCCCCCCCGCCAGCCAATGGCCGGCCAGAAGGTCAGCTACTCGACCCGCCGGTCGTACCCCGACGAAGAGCGTCCCTCGGTGCGCATCTCCCTTCAGCCGTCGCAGTTCCAGCTCCCGACCTACCGCCACTCCTCTGGCGGCAGCGTCAGCCTCAGCACCCGCCGCTACTCGGGCCTCCTCCCCGTGCTCTTCGACCGCGCCGCACGCACCTGGTGGGACCCCTGCTTCGACTCGCACATCCTCGAGGAGCAGTACAGGCGGAGCACGTTCCCGCAGCTGCGTCAGCGGTTCCAGTACGCGCTCTGTTACCTTGTGCTCGCGTCCCTCCTCTACTGCATCTACTCCGCGAGCATGGTCCGGCCACACTGGGTCGCTTCTGTCGTCGTCAGCCTCCTGGTGTCCGTCTCGAGCGTGGGTGCCCTCGTGTTTACGCAGTCCCGCGAGTACAACGTCCACTATGTCAAGGTGTCACTCGCGACGACTGCCACCATGTGTGCTGCGTCCCTGTCCGTGTTTCTGTTGCTCATCGGCGAGCAGAGTGACAGCGCCGTGTACATCTTCTCCGTGGGGGCGTTCTCGCTCTGCATCCTGGTGCTGATGATCACGTATGCGCTCGTGCCGATGCCGCTCTACATCGTGGTCGCCATCTGCTTCTCGTACTCGATCGTGTTCGAGATCCTCTCCGCGGTCCTGATTCCAACGCTCACTGCAACGGTGGTGGCGGTGCGGGCGCTGCTCCAGTTCTGCGTGCACCTGGTCGGCCTGCACACCCGGGTCATGACCGAGATCGGGATGCGCAACACCTTTTTCAAGGTCGGCCAGTCGTTGATGGTTCGCCGCGACCTCGAGGTCGAGAAGCAGCTGAAGGAGAAGATGATCCACTCTGTGATGCCGCCGAAAGTCGCTGACTGGCTCATGGCGACGACGACGGAGGAGGACGACGACTCCGCGACGCCGTTGGAGCAGCGCAAGCCGTCGACAAGTCCGCGCCCGTCGCAAATGATCTTCCGCCCGTTCAACATGCACCGCATAGAGAACGTGAGCATCCTCTTTGCGGACATTGTGGGCTTCACCAAGATGAGCTCCAACAAGTCAGCGGAGCAGCTAGTCGGACTGCTCAATGACCTCTTTGGGCGGTTCGACTACCTGTGCGCCAAGCTGGGCTGCGAGAAGATCAGCACCCTGGGCGACTGCTACTACTGCGTGTCAGGCTGTCCGGAGCCGCGGCCCGACCACGCTCGCTGCTGCGTCGAGATGGGACTGGGAATGATCCGTGCGATCGGCGAGTTCGACGAGGACACGGACGAGTCGGTAAACATGCGGGTGGGCGTGCACACGGGCACGGTGCTCTGCGGTATCGTGGGTACCAAGCGCTTCAAGTTCGACGTCTGGTCCAACGACGTGTCGTACGCCAACAAGATGGAGTCGACGGGGAAGCCCGGACGGGTGCACATCTCGGAGGTGACCCACGGGTTCCTGGTGGACCACTACCACATGGAGGAAGGCTTGCCAGATCTCAGTGAGCCTCACCTCTCTTTTTAAGCGATAGCCTTGCGTGGAAACCCTGCGCAAACCTTGCGTGCTCATGTTGTTGTTGGTCGTACCGTAGTGCAAGGCCATGAGAGAGAGAGAGTGTTGACGGAGCGCAGCCGTGGGTCAGACGTCTTCGCCCGTGCAGCCAATGGCACCCATCGCGTGGAGTGGGTGGGAGTGAGCGACGTGCTAGCATTTCCCTTTCTGTTTCTCTTTCCGCCGCATAGGAAAGGAGGCTGCACGTTAGGGAAGTAGGAAGTGCGTATTAGTACAGTAGAACCTTTGTTGCACTTTGACAAAATGTAAAAGCCAAGCAACTCTTTCTCTACTTTTGCACTGTGTTAGATAGGACATCACCCCCGTCGTGAGTCTACAGGCGTATGATGGACGCAATTATTCAAGAGACTGTATTAGTTGCCCTTCCTTTTCTTGCCAGAGAAACAAGATACCACTGCGAACTAACTGAACAACGGAGAGTAGAAAAAAAATTTTCGGGTGACGAATATTCTCGGTGATATCGGAAGCGTAGTAGATGTGAGCAACTTTTTTGTAAATTTAAAAGTTTTAGACACTTATATGAGGCAGCGGTATCGCTTCTTTTCGGTGTCTATATATAATGGTTCGCCTGTAAGTCGTGCAATGTTTCCATCCTTTGTATTTGCTGTGCTCCTATTAGTAAATATTGAATGTGATTGGTTCTGTGTTTAGATATACCAAATACTTTGCAAATACTTTCAAGAATCCCTAGAAAATGGGTGGCCGAGAAAAAGAATTCTTTTGTATAATTACCTTTTTAATGGATGAAAATAAACATATTGTTCCAATTAGAAACTTGCTGAGCGTCGTCGAAAATCCCTAAATCTGTAATTTTTTTAGAAAGTTTCCACCCGTGCAGCAGGCGGAAAGCTGGCAATGTGAAAACGCGGATGATTTTCTTATCATTCGGGTTTCCTCATTGCCAGCGTGGAGTCTGTTGCATGAGGGGTAAATTTACTGTACCACCACACTTCTCTCGCGCTAAAAGGCATTCTAAAAGTTACAGATTTATTGGTCTTCGATCACGTTTAGCGAGCTTCTAATCGAAATCGTATGTCTGTTCTCACTAATTAAAAAGGTAATTAGGACATTCTATGCAATTATTTTGCTAATTTGCATGTTGTTTTGCAATCCCTGACTTCTGCCGTGACTGGCAGTTTTTGAGGAAAGAGTTTCTTGTTTTCTTGACCACCCTACTTGTAAGGATTTTTTAAAGTATTCTCAGAAGGACTCGGTGCGTTGCACAGCTTTGTGTTATGTCCTCGTTCAAACACTTTACCTGCGCACCATGTACTGTCGCAAGAGAACTGCAGGGCGGAAAGGTAGTACGCTGGACGAGATGGTGATTGTTAGACAATGAAATACGGTGTGCAGAAGATGGGACAAAGAGAAGTTCTCTTTTTTCTTGTTTTGGTTCTCTGCCTGTTTCCCTTTTCTTTTTTTTCATTAATTTATTTCAGTTGCAAGTCAGCACCTGTTTGTCCTGTGCATTTGCTTTTTTCCTCCCGTCTTTTGTGCGCTGTTTTTCGTTACGTTGGAAGTTCAAAGTGGACGGGGGCCTTCGTTGGGCGTCGTTCTTCGTTTGTTAGTCTGTCTTGTAGTCATGTGCAAATACTAAATTTTTAATTTGAAGTGAATTCGAAGCGAATAGTGGTTTTGGCCGAAATTTTCCAATCGAATATCGAAAAGTTTCACCAAGCTTTTCACTATTATGCGTTACACTTGAACGAAAATTCAGCTGAACTCGTGAATGTTGCCTGTCCACTTCTAATGTCAGTTAATCTTAATACAGCTGCATTTATAAACTGTGGCATGTAAACAACAGATTTATTGCAGCTATCCTAAATGAGGGGATTTATAAATCTGCTTGCTCTATGCAATCATGTTTTCTTCAGTTTCAGATCTGACAATAACAAGAAAAGCAAAACGAGCATAAATGATGAACTCAGGTTGTCAAGGCATCGCTGCCTAGCATATACACTTGCATAATCGGGGTGGATTAACCCCGTTGAGTGCGCTTCTCACCGAGCATCTGTGCACTGCGGGGAAGCAACACCCATAAAGCCCACGATCTCTGCGGGTATTGCTTTCCCGCAGTGCATGGGTGCTCAGGGAGAAGCACACTCAACGGGGCAAACCCACCGCTGATCAACACTTGGAAAGGTATGAATATCGCAGTTCCTCTCGAAGCAAATGTCGAATAGCATGTCATTTGAAGCTACTAACAATATTTTCATAACCCTACTGTCTTTTTGGTTGAACCAAAAAATATGAATTCAATCAAATAATCAAACTATGAGATATAAACATATCTTCCATTGGAACTAAAGGACGTATTTCCCAGGACCTTGTGATTACAATGTTATGCTTCTGCTGCAGATCGCAAGACATATTTCATCAGAGGCCGCAAGGTGGCCCAGCAGATGTCCTCCCGCCACTCGTGGCCTCACACGATCGGTTCCGCGGAGACGGGCAAGACAATCGACACGCGCAAGATTAGTTGCCCATCCAATCAACCGGGGGTGAGCACGGTTTGATCCTGCACTTTCACCCACAGGTGGCAAACGCACATCACTTGCCTTTCTTCGTCCCTCTTGCTATGTTGGTATTCTCTTTGTTTTTTATTCATTTTAGACCTGCAGCACCATCAGGCATTATCGCAGGGGGAAAACAAACATGAAAAAGATGCTTCTGCTTTTGCGGCACAAACAATCTCGGAAGGCAGTGCATTTCATTCCTTAAGGGTCGTAGCAAGAAAATAACTTTTACTTAATTCCGTCCTGATAAGGCCCGTTCACACTCTTGCGACCTCTTAAAACTTGGTCCCTTAAAACCTCTTACAGCAAGAGGACACAGTGGTGCCATCTATCGGATTGCAGTGTAAACGTGGCGGTCCGCCATATTTTATATTTCTCCCATGCATTATCCTTTCTTTCTTGGCTCAAAAAGCTTTTGTAAACGCTATGAAGAAGTCTTTCTTGTAGGTATTACGCACATTTGACCTCGGAAATCCCGCAAAACCTTCGCTCTTGTGAAATACAGTTCCAGGGTCACCGCATAGATGGCGCCAGAATGCCAGTGTGTTCCCTCGTCGTAAGAAATTTTAAGAAGTTTTAACAGATCTCGTCTCTCTCGGTCGTACTCGGTCGCAAGAGTGTGAACGGGCCTTTATGGAGCTCACATATTTTATGGACTGATCTTTATGTTGTGGGGGGTAAAAAGTATGACGAGCTATTAATGCCAGTGGTTTTCTGATAGATACAACATAATTGGTTCTTCGACAGTAGAGAATTTTCTGTTGAAATTCAAACTTGGTCAGTGCTTTTTGGTAAAATTAGCGCAAGGACAAGGGAGGAAGAATGCAGGATAGAGTCCCTACATTCTTCCTCCTTTGTGTAGATGGTTGAGCGTGTTGGTTTCTAATTTACGATAAGGAAAGAGGGACATTGAAGACAAACAGACAAGACAGGCTTCTTTGCACTAATTTTTCCAAGATGTATAGCCAACTAGCCTGCCAGATGATTTTGGTCAGTGCTATCTGGAATGTGCCTGCTACAAGGTACAGTCAAAACATCTAACTGAAAATTAGTTCGATGTTTGTTTAATGAACTCTATCTGGGATTATTGCGATAATCCTGGTTTACAGCCCTGGCTGCTCAAGGACGCCGCCTGCAGGCGGTTGTGTATAAGTTACAAATGCAGCGCAAGCGTTTGCGGTGTTCCGTCGTCACTTTCACTTGCATTGAAATGGCTAGTTATCGTTCAAAATGCTACATTCCAAATTCGACTGATATTGTGTTTCCCAGTTTAATTTAGTAGTAATAATTTTATTGTTTTGTCCATTTTTAATTCAAATAATGGAGCCCGTCAAAGCCTGTCAGGCTTGTATGATGTGGGCCAGCAGCCATGTGAACTACAATTTCAATCAAGTGCCCTACGTACGCCGAGAAAACAAGCACGTAAAAACTTCCTTGTCACTATTACAAAAATATTACAGAATACTCTGCCATAACAATAGGTATTCTTGTGATACGCTATTGCCACTAAAGCCCCTCGATATGTTTGCATTTGTCTTCCAAGTAGCGCCAAATGCGCGAGTTCACGAGACCCACGTCTCGAGCGGCCCTTGGAAGCGAATGGCGGTGCAGCACTGAAATGAGAGGCCCAAGGAAGCGAATGGCGGCGGAGCACCCGCTCGTGGCACGTGTCTCGCGCGTTTCCACAACAATGGTTGGCGGTACTTGTAAAAAAACGCCTTTATCAAGGGGCTTTAATTGCCACAACAGCACACAAAATTACATTTGTCTGTTGAAAACAGTCGTACAGAAAGAAGCGTATATGAAGAAAGGTTCGCTTGATCATGCGTACGTTAAAAAAAAAAAAAAAAAAAAACTTCTTGAAAGGTAGTTTTTGTAACCAAACATACTTTGTAATGCGAACTGCAAATTCGTCTGCTTCTTTTGCAGGGTTTGTGGTGACGTCAGAACGCCGAGCTCTGTTTGGTTCTGAATGAAAGATAGTGGGTAGACTTCAAGGCAGCTTGCTTTGAGGTTTACCCACCATCCTTCAATCAGAGCCAATCAGAGCTCAGCATCTTTCTGAAGTCACCGCAACTCTTGCCCAAGAAGCAGACGACTTGCTCTTTGCGTAAGAAAAGAAATGCGGCAATAATTCATAGTGTTCTTCTGCTCGGAATGAAGCTATGTGGAGCGCAGGTTCGTCTGCTCCTTGCACAAGGCTTGAGATGATGTCAAAACGCCGAGCTCTTATTGGCTGATTGAAAAAAATAGTGGGTAGATTTTGTGGGAGACGAGGGTGGAAGACGATGGGGCGGAGGGCACGTGACAGGCGATCGTCAAAAGAGGCACGAGCTGGCGCCAGACAGAGCGTGCTGTGCGAGGCTGGGGCCGGGTAGGAGGGATGGAGCTGGTCTGGCCCATGGCGGTACCCGGAGCGGTTCACCAGCGAGTTTCGGACCAGGACCAGCAAGAACGGCGAGCCCTGGCCATATTAGCCTAGGCCATGACGATCCCGGAGTAGTTCTGCAGCGAAACTTAAGCTACGATTGCCCGGAACAGCTAGCCTAGGCAGCGCTGGTGAGGGAAGGATGATCCGCAGACCTGGACATGGACTTCAACTGCGAGCTCTGAATGACGGGCAACAACCAGGGTCGGCGGGCCCGGACTGCCGGTTCTCAAGGATGAACAACCGGAAAGTACAGTAAACCCGCCCGCTGTCTTCTCGTTGTGTCGTGTCACTCCTTGGGAGACGAGCGAAGCACAGACCGACTGGGTGGCGATTATTATAGAGGGACCCCACAACCTCGAGGCATTCAGCATTGAGGTCTACCCACTATCCTTTCAATCGTAACCAATTAGAGCTCGGCGTTGTTCTGACGTCACCGCAACTCCTGCGCAAGAAGCAGACGACTTGCGCTCCGCATCAGCATGTGCCGTAACAATCTCTCGATGGTGTGTACCGCTGTGAAACTTAACAACGCTCATGGGCGCCTTTTCACCCATACCAGGACATCGAAGAGGAAGAGGTTGCCCCGATGCTGCCACCAGCGCACCGCCACAGCAGCCTTTCCACTCTCAACAGTAGCCGCAAGGACTCTGGCATTAGGAGCCGTCAGAGCAGCATGCAGGACACGGTAAGTGGGACAGTCGACGCCACCCTATTTCTCTCGACGACCTCAAGGGTCCGGTGGTCGAGCGCGTTAGCAAGTCGCATCTTGGAGCACATGGAACAAAAGCTCATGCCTCAGAACCCTGGTATCCCGGGTTCGATCCCAGGGATGTTCCCTACCACGTCCCAGAATTCCCTTTCTTGGGTACAAACATTCTCTATATGAGGTACTTTTTCCTTGCAAAACTTTGATATTGGGTATATCCCTGTGCATTTCCCTACATTTGTTTTACCTTTATTTTCGCAGAAGCTGATTTCTTTTGCCATGCAGGCCACTTTGCGCGCATTTTACCATAAAAGCCGCACGAAATTGCATGTTTAAACAGAATGTTACTGGTCACTTTATATTTTTATTAACAAAGTGATGTAACCTCTAGACGCGGCGGCTTTGCCACGCCTAGGATTCGTTGAGACACCTCTCCTTCCTACACTGTGTGACATTCTCACTTCTTCTTCTTAAAACGTTTGGACTGCAAAACAGTTTTTTTTTTATTATAATATTTAGCTCTCTCTAAAGATTTTCTCTGAATTCCCTTGTTAATCCTTAAAATTCCCTGCAATTGCAGTGAAGTTCTCATATCCCTTTTCACCGAATGTGAGTCCGAAATTTCCCCGAAAAAGAGAAAATTCCCTGCATGGATTGTCACTGCGATCCTTGCAGCACCCTGTTTTGATCTGGGTTAACATCGTACCGGCGCAGAGCCATGTGTCGCTACTGCATGATGGACATCGAAGACCTCAGGCTGACAGTCATACTTTACTGGCTAACAACTTTCTCATCCACAGCTGGGACGTCGGATGCCCCTTGAGGCGGACTGACCTTCCGCCGTTTAAACTTCCTTGCAACATACGAATTGTTGCTAGTGTTCAGTGTTTTCGGTAAATTGTACCGATTAAACCCCGAAAATTGAACCCTGAGCCGCTTTTTGTCAAAATCTAGCAAGCCAAAAAAAAAAACCCGAATGGGAGCTGCCCTAGGATAGAAAAAAAAAAACAGCTTCAATGGAAGAAAACTTTTGTCTTTGTCGTTATCTTCTGTCGACCCGGAATGCAGCACCCAATGAACTGTTCGTGAGGCCTCTTCTTGCTTCATAATCACGCGTCTTATCCGGTTTCGTTTTGCTATTGGTGCTGGGACCTGTTTGGAGCAGCGTATGTTCCCCGGATGTGTAGGAATCCCGTTCGTGTGCCCTATTTTTTCCAACATAGCCCCCGATAAACCTTGATTTATCGCCCCACATTAAAACTTTATATGAAAATGACACAAAATCTGTGGGGAACAAAAACATAAAAATAAACCCCATAGAAACACTCTCAAATTCGAAGAAAAATAGACCCCGAAACCAGGAAGCCCTACTTGATGGTCATCTGAAACACTTACTGTCCAGAGAAAATGGTGAAGTTTGTTACCCTGTATCATTTTTCACAAGGGACATAGGCTGTGACATATGGGGTCAACAACTCCCTTTGTTCGAGTCCCTTTTTTCCTGGCCCCTTTGGAAGATGGGTGTGTCGCCTAAAACCGTGTTTTTGTTTGTGTGCGTGCGTGTCCGCGGTTTAAGTTTGACTAAGGAAGTCTGTGTCCTTGGAGAGCGGAGGCTGTGTGTGTGGGGGCTGGCAACCCTGAGGGGGAGGGGGGTATATAAGAGAGAGAACTGGATAAAGCATTTAGCTATGTTCGAGATGTTGTCTTCCTATCACTTTGCCTTTCTCTTCCACATTTTGATGCTTCATGGTTTTCTCGCCCCAGTCTCAAATAATTTAAAGGAATGTATGGGGTGTTGTTTTTCTAACACTGCTTGGAATCAGGCTAGTTAATTTTCTAGTGGGTCCGGAATTTTTTAAGAAAGAAAACTGGCGTTAAGGTTTTTTTAGCCTTGGGGCTAATTTAGGGACCCATGGGATCCACTGTAAATGAAAGGAGAAATGGGTTAATTAGTTTGCTAATTCACTAAATATACTTTCAATTTGTTTTTCTTTTTTAAAGGGACATTGACAGCGTATTTATGCTCGCCGAGGTTTCATTTCAACATGACCTATAAGAGCCCATTTACACAGAACACAATTTCTGGCTAAAAATTTGATGCCTTTTCGCCCGAAAAAAGCCGGTCGAAAATTTGCCGGTTTCGGTCATGCTCACTCTCTTTTCGATGGTCTAGTGATGTTCAAACTATGTGTACCAAATACGTTCAAAGTCGTGGGTCATTTAAGGCACAATTTCAATATTAATACTAGGAAAGAACATGAACTCTATTTTTGTGGTCTCGAAAAAACTGCAAATACGTTGATATAAAAAAGAAAAAATGTTGCGCCGATCTTAGGAAGTACATTTACACATCATTCTTAGTACGGCAACGTACCACAGACCCTGCTGACTGGATGATGCGATGGTAGTGCATGAAGGACCAACATTGTGATGGTCGTGGGGCCACTACTTCGGAATGTTATTCGTGGTACCGGCCAATCAATCTTCAAGCGCAGAACATTGAGCGGAAAGGATAGAAGTGCGAAACAATAACACGACAAATGGTTCACGCAACTTTGTCATTGTCGTCGTCTGCTTCACATGCCTGAGAAGCTGAGAAAAAAAAAAGTGGTTGGGCGTAGCCACGTGACTTGCGGTCATGCTTGTGTTTCAGTTTCGATTTCGAGCAGTTGAATTTTCTTTTACTTTATTAAAAAATATTTCTGACTGCAGCAAAATATTGATTGTGTAGTCTCCTGATACCCTAATAAATCGTCTGGCAAAACGGCCGACTTTGACTGACCGGTTTTTAAGCCTCTTGTGATGGCTTACGACCGCCTGCGCTTCTGCGGAGGTGGTTGTACGCCGTCATGAAAGACTTAAAACCGGTTTTTAGCCTCTCCGATCGTAAGAAGTCCCAAATGTGTGAACGGACCTTCAGTTAGCTAGGGAAATAAAAGTTTAAATTAACTTAACAAATTTTTATCAGTTGACTAGCTACCGTAATATCCTGAGAGATGGCCCACCCCCGAAAGATAACCCATCTCTATTTTTGGCATAATTTGCCATTTTTTAAATAACACCGAAAGATAGCCCACTTCTAGTTAATACAGGGCCCTGGCGAATGGTGACCTCAACAGAAATGGTGTTACTTAGTCACGGGAAGAGATAAGCGAACATTGGCCGACTGGGAAGTGCAGTCGTCTTAGTTCATTGCCCCTCGCTGCAATCACAAGTTTCACAGGTCACAAAATGTAACACTACCATTTTTTCAACTTTTTTTGACTGCACATAGAAAGTTAGCCCACTCCTTATTTTTGCTCAATTTGCTTTCAACTTTAGATGGGCTATCTCTCGGGATATTACAGTAGCTGGAAAACCTTTCGTTAACTTTATAAATTTGTACCTTTTGAGGCGTAATGTAGCGGGAGAATTGGCGCTCAACCTCTCTACGGTCTAGCAGCGACATGGGACTGATTAAAAAAATCTGTAGTGGGTGCTACAGGGCAACAAATGTCACCCCTGTATACGACTTCAAACTGAAACCAAGCGAGCAAAGAGCACCTGCAAAGTCAGTCCCCTTACCCTGTGCTGGCTCCGTAATCCTGCGGTGCCAGCACAGGGCAAGGGCACTTGCGTCTTTTGCGGCGCAGACACGGGGTGTCTGTGCCGCAGGAGACGCAAGTGCAGAGCGGAGGGATCAACGTCGCGGGCATGTTTCGCCGGCTCTGTTTCGGTTTGGAGCTGTGTACAAGGATGACATTTCTCGCCCCGTAGCGCCCACTACGAATTTTTCAATCAAAATTTTACGCCACAGTCAGACCACACCGAACAGATCTAGTAGGCGATGCAGGCGAGTTGGTTCACGCTACCACTGGAAACGTCGCACAAATAACAGGAAACGAGGAAGGCGTAGACGAGACAAGCGCTTGTCCCATCTGCACCTTCCTCACCTTTGTCATTTGTGTGCTGTTTCAAGATTCGGCAATTTGGCGCGTTGTTATAAAAGAATGTTTTATAAAAGAGAAATAATCGCTCATACTATCTTCTACCCCAAAACTGTCATTACTAAAATTTGCTTTACAGGATGCAGAGAACACGTTGATTTACGCCGACTACGAAAGCGCATTGCAAATCTGTTTCGCATGTCGTGCCCGTTACTTGAACCAAAGGGTCACGTTTCGACTGGGGCCAATTAATGCTTCAACTGCACCACGGTGTTTTATTGTTTGTATGATATACCCATACTCTTGCTTGGAAACTCGTTTTTATCGTAATACACGTAACCAGGGTTGCTCAAGGCGTTCGCTATTTGTTTTTGCATGTGGCATGCCACCCACATTCTTCGTTCCTTCAGCCCCTAAACAGAACCTCGTGTCGAACCCTGTCAGCCACAATTTAAGGCTGGTTTTCACGTTTGCATCTTAAATGTGATCGGCTTCAATGCAGCTGCTCGTAACCGCTTCTGTGTTCCAGGCTACCCGATAGGTGGCGTCGGTGTGTCCGCTCGTCGAGAGTGGCTGCAAGTGGTTGCGGCGCAGTCGATCATGCACGAATTCAAATGTGAAAACGTATACTGGGTGTTTCTGCAAAGACCTTCAGAAATCCTTAAGAATAGGGTGCTTGAGAAAAAGAAGAGGACTCTTTTCGGGAACAAACTGCCAGTCACGGCAGATGTCGGGGGTCGCAAGAAATATGCTAATGGACGTTATTCATTACTAGCGCCGTCTCTCAGCGGCCGCGCATACTATCAAGTCTCTGCGCCATCTTTGAGGCTTCCCTACCATCTGCGTCCTGCCTGCATAGCATTCTCCATGCTAGTTCTCATGACATTGTTGTTTTTGTTTTGTTATTTTTTGTTTTTTTGTTGTTGTTTTTTCAGATTGGTTGTAATGTTAGGTATTTCAATATGCATTATATTAGCAAGCCTAGTTCAGACAGTTGCGTTAGTTCTGTTCGAAGCGGCGACAACAATGTAGTCGACGGGAAAACTGTTTACC